GGGAAGGGGGGGAACGGAGGATGAGGACCAGCTGGAATGAATTGGAACAGACGGGTGGGGTGACGGGGGTATGGGGGGGTATGGGAACGGGTGGGGGGATGGGGGGAACGGGGGTGGAGAACGCGAGCGATTTAGGTCTAGCTGCGAGCTGGAAAGCAAGGATGGCGCGCTACAATAGAGTAAGGACCGGAACGGGGAGGGGGATGCATGGATGGGAGAAAGGCTTCAGCTGCTGGCGGACACAATGCTGCCGGCGCCTGGCTCTCCCCACTCTTTGTCCCCTCCCCACTCCATGAATACTTGTGTGTGCTTACCGGGTTTACGTGTATTTTGGTGTTCTCCTTGTGTGACTGTCACCACAGCTCGAACTGTCAGGGTCGTAACAGAACGTTTATACCGTGCGTTCTGTGACCCTCTCCTCTCCTCTCCTCCCGCCTCCGATATTCCGGTCCGTTGGTTCTCTCGATTCAGCAGGTGTTGAGCGGGCCGTACCAACCTTAGCATCCCTGTATGTCAACGAGCGATGATGCCGGGAGCACAGTCCCGAGGCTCGGCTCAAGCGAAGGGGTCGTCCAACGGTTCATTCACCGGTCGGTCCAACGCCCTGGCCTAGAAGGAAAGATCCAGCCTCCAAAACCTTTCCCAGTAGTCCCTCCCGCTCTACAACCCCAACATCACTCCGGACAACATACATACCGCCATCCGACTCCACATCGACTCAAGAACAGCTACTGCTACTGTGGCAGGACAAGCAGGTGAGGCAGTTGGTACAGAAGTGCAACGTGTATTGACACGAATGTATGCCAATATTTATTTGATCCAGTGTAGTCTAGTACGCGTGTATCTTTATTATTAGCATCGACCTCGCTTGAAAAGACGTCAGTCTCAGTGCGGTTGAAAACACAAGAGACTTGTATCTGCCATGAACGGGGACTTCGTGAAGGGGAAGCATGGGGGGGGGGTGTACTCATAGTCGTGCATGCCGTAGTCGTTAGACCATTGACCTCGCATCCCTACAAAGCCGGGACGGAGCACGCCGGGTTCTCACCGGACCAGGCTCTCACATCACCAAGCGCGAAGCGCCGTGAGATATTCGGCGAGTCGCATGAAGGGTGCGCTGCATCCTGCTAAGGGTTTTCGGCATCTTGTGCGTACTTCCTTGCGTACGGATGACAGCTGCGTATGAATTAATTTATTTTCTGGTGCTTTCACTTCCTGAGACAGTTGTAAGCTCTGTAACTGCCTCGAGGGTGCGTGACCATTTTC